TTATCATGTGAAATAAATGAAATATCACCATGAGGTGTTATTGCGTTTCAGAATGATGTCATCCATATACGTGCCAAAATCAAAGATGGTGTACAGAGGGGTCTCATTATTAGGTAACTACGTGGTCCCATGTGTCAGCAAATATATGTGATATACAACAGTGTAATATATATATATATATATATATATATATATATATATATATATATATATGTGTGTGTGATATACACTAGTGTAAAAAAGGATTGGATCACACACATTTTGCTTATCACTGACTATAATGGTAGATATCAGTGTGATACCATAAATTTTATTTTTCATGCTTGTTCAGCTTTTTAAGCTTTTTTCCACTGGGATTTTTCAATGCAGTTTCTTCTTCTTCTAATAATTATTATTATTTTAATCTATTATAAAAAAAAAGTAATGATAAACTTGCTTTTATTTTGCCAGAGCTGAAAAAGCCAACAGCAAATTTTCTTGCACCAACTCTTATTCACAGGACTTTTAAATGCACCTATTATTATTATTATTATTACCAGAAATGAAAAAGCCAACAGTAACTACACCACAGACTTCATCCACCAGCTGTACTCTGAGGAGGGCAAGGATACCTTCACCTGCAGGAAAAATGTGCTGGGGCACATGCAACAGGTAAATGAAACTACTGGCAGTCTGAACAAACAGGCTCATGCGGGCGCACGCGCGCACACACACACACACACACCCACTGCATTTTATTAATTTTGTCTTAATTTGTATAATAACAAATGTTGCAAAGCAGAAGGTATATGCTTTCTGTTGGGTATTTCTAATGTTGCTAATAACTTGGCAGGGTGACCCAGTCATGTACTCCATGTGGGGCCGTAGCGATAGTCCGAAGGTTCAATAGTCCGAAGGTTCATTGGTCCGAATGTTCACTATAGAACCTTCGGACCAATGAACCCTTGATTAAAAAATCGATAAAAATGTTACCACTTTTCGGACCAATGAACCTTCGGACCAATGAACCTTCGGACTATCGAGACGCCCCCCTCCATGTTGTTTAACTCTATAATTACTATTATTATTATTATTATTATTATTATTATTATTATTATACTGAGTTATTCTGATCTTTAGGGAGGAGCTCCATCTCCATTTGACAGAAATCTGGGGACAAAGTTTGGCTGCCGAGCTGCAGAGTATCTGTCCAAGCAGGTGTCTGAAAGTGTAGTGGACGGTAAGACTTTATGTTATTATTATTGCTATTATTATTATTATTATTATTGTTATTATTGTTATTATTATTATTATTATTGTCAGCAGAATAGATATGGGCAGTTTGAGGGGTTTGCTAGATGTGCCCTCTTTACTAGGGGAGAAGGGGGCTCCGAATCAAGATTTGATCTCTTTTCTGCTGTCTTGGTAAGAAATGTGCAATATGCCATATAAATGACTAAGAGACCATTGCCAGAGACTATCATACTAACTTTGGATTGGAATATCTCCGAGGGGATTGTGGCTTGATTGCAATTAACTTGGGTGGCTTAGATGTCTGTCACGCCTGCTGAGGCTGATAAGGGGTAATTAACTATCTTTAAGCAGCTTTAGATGGTGTCCCAGACGTCTAAGCCGCTTGGGCTGAAAGCAATTTAGTAAGGGACCCCGTGGAGATGAACCGATCCTGTTAGATCGATTTAGGGATGGGAACCCAGTGTAAGTAATATTGAGGGTGTAATTGTGGTTGTCCTTGCAGGCAAGGTGTACAGTACAGCCCCTGGGACAGCCAGTGTTCTGGGTGTGGTCAGGAGACAGATGATAGTGACACCTATGGCTGTGTTGGGAAGCATCACTGACTTCAAGTGAGTTTACTGGCCATGGTGAGAGAGACGGAGAGAGAGAAAGAAAGTGGTTGTTTGGTCATGTGTGTGTGTGTGTGTGTGTGTGTGTGTGTGTGAATGTGACAGAAAGAGAGAGAGAGTTTGTGTGGAAAAGGAGCACAGTTTTTTTATGTGTGAGTGAGATGAGGAAAGCAAAAGAAAAGGGGAGAGAGAGCTTGAAGAACTGCATACAGTTAATTAAAATTTATATGAAACAAATTCAAATCTATGCAAAAATAAAAACTAAGTTACTGCATTGTAATTACAGAGGGATTAAGTAACTGTACTTTCATTTTTATTATTATATTTTTTTAGCAATCAGTGCTCAAGCAGTTTCAGTTTAAGCAGAAGGAATGACACCATATTTTTTTACCTGTCCAGATGTCATTGAAAATGTCCTCCACATAATTTTTAGATATCGTATCCCCAAACAGCAGTGGTGGCTGAAGCTACGCCCTCTGCTACGAATCATGGCCAAGCACGAGTCCCAGTACGAGATGGAAGGAATCAACCTCAAGAGCGTGGAGAGCACGGATGAATCGGACGATGTTGTACTCCAGGCTGGCGTAGGCATCCAATGATTTCACCGCTGTTTTTTTATTGTTTCAAGATGGCTTTGAGAAGTTCTTGTGGTCATAAAAACCTCTCAGCATGAGGAGAGCTCTGAGTCATGAAGAGGATCAATATAGATCTCCCTGATTTTTGCCCCCGTTGGAAAGAAACCTCTCCAGTTTTCATCCACAATTTGAGAACCGTCAACATGCCATAAATGTCGCATGTATTTGAAAAGTTTTTGTGAATTCCAGTCGGACTGTGAATACTCGTGTGTGAATTTTTTTTTTTAAAGCTTGTGACAAAAAAGTTGTCAACTGTAGAACCTCTAAATAATATTCGGATTTTAGAAACTGCTGTGTTTGTATAAATAGTGTAAGAAAAAGTGTACAAAGTTGGATTAATCAAAGCGATGTGTAATTGATATCATGCTGTTTATCATGTTTTGCTCAGATTATGGGCTTTTTCACATTTTTTAAAAATTTGAGCAGCGTAAAAAGTCTCTGGTATTATAGGTGCATGATTATTGCCAGACATTATATTCAAAGTTTGCACAAATCTCTAAGTTTAATCTCAAATTTGTATGAATTTCAGTTGTAAAATTCAAAAAGGTGCCAGTTTGAATTATTGCAGTAACTTTTAATCATTTCTATCACCATTTCACTTTACTTAAGCACAAAATCTTGTATGTTGTAAATGCCCATGGAATATGAACACTTTGCATGATCCCTAATATTTTTTTCCAGAGTATGGTATAAAATTCTCTGATAAATCCCATCTGATCTGTGCAGTTTCAACATAGTGTATTCAATAATTCGTCCAGATATGTCCACTGACATATACTCCAGTCTGTGACCTTGACCCTGGCCACACCCCAAATGCCAGTCGTGTAGAAACTTGGCAAGTGAAATGTTTGTAATTTGTTCAATGTCTAGCCACTGTTTTCTATTGTGGGTCTGTTTCTTTAGATCTGGAGCCCCAAAGAGCCAGTAAACTACAAAAAAAAAAGAGTTTTTGGAACAGGCTGATGCTTACGTGTGTCCACTGACATGTATTGGTGAGTCAGTAAACATTTGACAGTGTTGCTGTAGACATAAACGTGTCTATTGCCTTAAAATCGTGTCTGTGTGTGTTAACACATTTATGTACTAGCCTTGTGTGTCAATTGACACATTACAGTAACATGCACTTACATGTCAGTTGACATAAGTGTCTGTACTAAAATATATTTCCAGAAATGGTGTCCAGTTTTCCTACAGTTGTGTGTGTCTTCATCTATCCCAGAACGTTTAGATAACCTTACAGTATTATTAGACATAAGGAGTACAACTAGCAGGCATGGAAAGGGGTATTAATGAAGGGGGAGGTGGGGGGGTAACTGTTTTCTGCACTTAGACTGATGTTCTGTCCACAATGTTAGACATGAAATGGTCTCATGGGAGGGAAGGATTGGCAACATAGATAATAGACCCAAGTTAGACAGTTTTATTTATTAATTTGTTTAAATTATCCCAGGGAAAAATGCTAAATACATACCCACCGCTTCTTATTTTTTCACAGAAGTTAATTAATTAGATGCTATCATACATGATATGATTTGAAGTTATACAGAGTCTAGTCTTGTTTTCAGTGTTGTATATAGCCAGAATCTTTATTCAAGAGTAATGGTGATGTGGTTGTTGCTTTCACATCTTTATTCAAACCTGGATGCTAATATATTTCATTGTTTTTGTGCCATAGTTTTTCTCTCCAGTTTCTTGAGGTTTATTTGGATCTAATTAACTTCTGGGCTATACTGGTAGTGCTGCTGATCTGTAAGACTGCTCAGACAAGATCAAATTTGGATTGAAACACAGACAAACTACTGTGCTTAGAGGCCAGATTATAGAGCCATAAATTTATTCCTTAGAAAATTCAATAAACTGGTACCAAGTTTTAGATGACTGAGATTCCATTCTGCATCAGTATAAATTTTGTTTTTCCTTGACAAAAGTTTGTCTTGATTGATTTTTGATCTGATTTAGTTGTTGTTTGAAGAGATCTTACAGAGTAGATTATGACTACGAAAGGTGCTTTAAATTATTTATGTACTTCAAAGAAGTTTTTTACTTGATTTAGAGACCAGTCTAGCACAGCCTTGTAAAGCTGATATGATTTCCTTTAGCCTGAATATTTTGCTTTAACCTGAAGATTTTTAGTTCTTTACACCCAAATGATGAGTGGCCCTACTTAATCAGAGCCAAACAACCTCTTTAGGTGCATGATAATACAAGATAATTTTTTCATTGTGTTTTATTACAAATTACTTTGGTGCTGGTTCAAAGGAAAACAAATTCCTTAATATCTAGAGTGGGCATTTGATACTTTTCTGCCTGTAATTTATTTGGAGTACAAGTTCTCACATACAATGTGACATAGTACCTGTAACGTTGTAACTGTTTCATGTACTAGATTAATAACCAATTAATAATGGAATACTACTTCACAGGTTGGCTGTTAGTTGTCTCAGACTGGCGTTAAGATTAAAATCGTTACCTCTGGTAACAAAAAGAATGTCATGATTATAACGGCTGCAGTTTGCCCGTTTGTTTGTTCACAAGATTTCTTAGAGATGTCTTTACAATTTATTATTATTATTATTATTATTATTATTATTATTGGCAGAAGTCTGTGCTCTTGGAGTGCTTGTTCTCCTGTTAAACATAAAATGGAAAAGCTTATAGGAACTTACACTAAAGATTTTGTTATATTTCCTTCACTTTAGTTTTAAAGCACTAGACAATCTGCACATTTGTTATTAGGTATATTCTACTGAATATACATGAAAGTGTTAGAACAAACGTTTTGATTTATTTAAACTTATGGTTAGCAGACTAAAAGTGCCACAATTCTGCACAAACGTATATTGATACAAATTAGTTCAGTTAGAAGTACAACAGGTATTTTGATAAATGAAAATTTTCAGTAAACAGACTAAAAAACACTACAAAACTGTACATACGTATGATAAAAATGCCCTATGGTAAACTGTACCACCTGTTGCAGCTATTAATTATGAAATATCCTAACCGCGTATCTGCAGAGAAAGGCTTAGTTTGAGCCAGCTGCCTTCAACACGTAGGTATTAGATTGAATATTTCGATCAAAATAAGTGGCCTTGCTGGCAAGAGTGAGCTTTTCTGGGAATGTTGGATTCATTGGCCACTGCGTTAGCGATTTATATTTACTTTGTGTTTGTTCAATAAAACCTAACCATTGTTTTTAAAAATTGATCTCATGTTTACATTTGACACTGGTATTAAGTCGGTCCCTGACTGTTTAATTGACTGGATTAATTAATGATTTGATTGGGTTAATTAACGAATTTAATTGGAGCATAAGATATGAGTAAACATCGTTCTTCACTACCCTCTACCAGGGTGACAGATATTATAGGCACATTTTTCACGAAATGTGGAAGTGTGCCTGTAATATCTGCCACCTGGGAAGAGGGTAGTTCTTCACCCTGAAAACCGACGGTCATTGAAATCTTTCTACTGAGAACTATGAAGACTAAAGTGGGTGTTAAGAATAGAGGGATGTTTTAACAGTGGGCAGTGGTACTCAGGGCCTTGACCTCTGATTGCCTGGCTCGACGGTTTTCAGCATGGCGTCCCTTAGCAAAATGTAAAGTTTAAAGTAACGAGTTTGCAGAAGTTTGCAAGAAAAAATTTATTGCTGCTAATTTGCAGCCGTGTTGCAGCAAATCTGCAAGAAGTAATTGCAGTTGGCAGCAAATTTGCTGCAAATTCGCTGCTTAGGATGGCAACATATTGCGCCACTGTCCCGATTTCACTTCAACCGAAAATAAGCATATTTTTTTCTTCATTTACGTGTAGTTATTTACATGTTATATTATCTTTGTTAAGATAATCATGTCTCATCATGAAGGCTAAGTCAAACTTTTTTCTTCCTTGATAAAGTTGTATTTAACGTCTCCAAGCACGTCCAGTTTGATATTAGACATTTTAGTATGAAGTCTATATATAATATTTTAAAACATACGAATGAAGCCAAATTTGAATATTCTGCTTTATTAGTGACTAATAGCTTACTAGCATCAACTTTAATATAATTTATTAAATAAATATATAAAGGTAAGATTTGTGGTAAATAGCCAAATGTTGAATTTCTCACATCGGAACAAGGAAAATTGATGTAGTACTATGTTGACTGCACGAAAATGTTTAGAAAATACAAACTAGAAAGGTAAATAAAAAGTTTGACAACTGTGCCATATTTTGCACGGTCTAATCTTTAGTTCATTAAGATGCCGCATATTGCCATTTGCACTATAAAGCAATAAATTTCCTTACGTTACAGCTGAATGAGAATCCGAGTTTAATTTATGTTATATTTACGACAGAAAATACCAGTCCGTTTTTATCCTTGTTTGATTGCACCCGGGTCTGTCATTATAGTTTTATCTGGTTTGTTTGTATTTACTAATTAGTGGCCTATTTATTTTGAAATCTTGTGAATAAATTCATTATTTCGTCCTCTAGACTTATTCTTGTATACATTTTGATGGAATATTGAATATTTAAAAGGCAACTTTTAGACTCTTTTATCAATGACTATACAGCGGTGCACTCAGAAAAAAAATTAAGAGTTTCATGAAAAACAAAAATGAGCAAAGAAACAACTAAATTAAATTGTATTATTTATTGGCACGAAGGAATCTCTATTACTAACACCATCACATCAGAGTTAAATAAATGTGAACCTAAATTCTAATAATTGTAACACTACTTTTCTACTGTCCCGAAAAACCACACTCTAGCTCCCCTATCCAAGTTTTCATATTTATAAGAGCTCTAGCACATAAATAATAATAAAAAACGTTAATAAAAGAGATAGAGAATGATCATTCGTACTACATGTATTTATATTCCACGCATCTACATGTACGCAAGCAACAGCGGAATGCGTACGCACGTCATGCGCATTCGGCCATAATAATTGCATTAGCAGCATTGCACTGCAATTT